GTCAATTTCAACCTGTCCAAGCATGTCAATCTACCTGTCAAAAGCTGTAATAAAAGGCGTGTCGATCAACCCTGTCAAAGTATGTCCAAAACGTGTGTCAATAACCAGTCAAAGCAATGTCTATCAAACCTGTCAATCATGTCAATCACTGTTAAGCCTTCAATCAACCTGTTCAAGCCTGTCAATTTCAACTGTCCAAAGTATGCAAAGTGGTTGTCAATCACCTGTCAAAGCATGTCAATCAACTGATTAAAGCCTGTCAATCAACCTTGTTCTAAGCCGTGTCAATCAATCTGTTAAGCCATGTCAATCTACTGTCAAAGCCTGTCAAATCAATGTTTTTGGGGGGGGTCCCAAAAAAACAACCCAATTTGACCAGGAGACTCCAAATTTCGTTTTCTCACATAAACATTGAACGTAATCAGTTTAATCCAGGATAGGTTAACATTAGCCTGCCAATTTGGATGAGGTTGGTTTAGGTTAGCGTTAGGTTAGGTTAGCGTTAAGTTAGGTTAGCTCAAATTGTTGACCAGGAGACTTCCAATTTTGTTTTCTCACTTAAAGTTGATCGTAAATCAGTTTAATCCAGAAAGATTATATTACCTACAATTTGTGAGGCTTAGGTTACGTTAGGTTAGGTTAGGTTAGGTTAGTTAGGCTCAAATTTGACCAGGGAGACTCCAAAATTTCGTTTTCTCAACATAAACTTGATCGTAAATCAGTTTAATCCAGGATAGGTTACAATTAGCTGCAATTTGGTGGTTGAGATTAGGTTGTAGGTTAGGTATAGGGTAGGCCTCAAATTTGACCAGGGAGACTCCAAATTTTCGCTTTTCTCATATAAACTTGATCGCTTAAATCAGTTTAATCCAGATAGTTACAATTAGGCTGCAATTTGGTGAGGTAGCGTTAGGTTACTTAGGGTAGGTTTAGGTTAGAGTTAGGTTAGGCTTCAAATTTGACCAGGAGACTCCAAATTTCGTTTTCTCACTAAAACTTGATCGTAAATCAGTTTAATCCAGGATAGGTACATTAGCTGCCAATTTGGTGAGATTAGGTCGCTAGTTAGGTTAGGGTTAGGGCTCAATTTGGGACCAGGGAGACTCAAATTTCGTTTTCTCATATAACTTGATCGTAAATCAGTTTAATACAGGATAGGATACATTAGCTGGAATTTTGGTTGAGGTGTATGTTTTAGGTAGGTTAGGTTAGGTTGGCTCATATTGACCAGGAGACTCCAAATTTTCGTTTTCTCACATAAACTTATCGTAAATCAGTTTCATCAGGAATAGGTTACATTAGCTGCAATTTGGTGAGTTAGAGGTTAGGTTAGGTTAGGTTTAGGTTAGTTTATAGGTTAAGGTTAGGCTCAAAACTTGACAAGGAGACTCCAAATTTTCGTTTTCTCACATAAACTTGATCGTAAATCAGTTAATCCAGGATAGTTACATTAGCTGCAATTTGGTTGAGGTTATTAGGTTCCGTTAGGTTAGGTTAGGTTAGGTTAGGTTAGGCTCAAATTTGACCAGGAGACTCCAAATTTCGTTTTTCTCACATAAACTTGATCGTAAATTAGTTTAATCCAGGATAGTTTACATTAGCTGCAATTTGGAGAGGTTAGGTTAGGTTACGTTAGGTTAGGTTAGGTAGTTAGGCTCAAATTTGACCAGGAGACTCCAAATTTCGTTTTCTCACATAAACGATAGTAAATCAGTTTATTCCAGGATAGGTTACATAAGCTGCAATTTGGTGAGGTTAGGTTAGGTTAGGTTAGGTTTGTTAGGCTTCAATTTGACCAGGAGACTCCAAATTTTGTTTTCTCACATAAACTTTCATCGTAAATCAGTTTAATCCAGGATAGATTACATTAGCTGCAATTTGGTGAGGTTAGGTTAGGTTACGTTAGTCAGGCTAGGTTAGGTTAGGTTAGGTTAGTTAGGTTAGGTTAGGTTAGGCTAAATTTGACCAGGAGACTCCAAATTTCGTTTTCTCACATAAACTTGATCGTAAAATCAGTTTAATCAGGATAGTTACATTAGCTGCAATTTGGTGAGGTTAGGTTAGGTTTTAGGTTAGGTTAGGTTAGGTTAGGCTCAAATTTGACCAGGAGACTCCAAAATTTCGTTTTCTCACATAAACTTGATCGTAAATCAGTTTAATCCAGGATAGGTTACATTAGCTGCAATTTGGTGAGGTTAGGTTTAGGTTACGGTAGGTTAGGTTAGGTTAGGTTAGGTTAGTTAGGTTAGGCTCAAATTTGACCAGGAGACTCCAAATTTCGTTTTCTCACATAAACTTGATCGTAAATCAGTTTAATTCCAGGATAGGTTACATTAGCTGCAATTTGGTGAGGTTAGGTTAGGTTACGTTAGGTTAGGTTAGGGTTAGGTTAGGGTAGGCTCAATTTGACCAGGAGACTCCAAATTTCGTTTTCTCATAAACTTGATCGTAAATAGTTTAATACAGGATAGTTACATTAGCTGGAATTTGGTGAGGTTAGGTAGGTTAGGTTAGGTTAGGTTAGGTTAGGCTGATATTTGACCAGGAGACTCCAAATTTCGTTTTCTCACATAAACTTGATCGTAAATCAGTTTAATCCAGGATAGGTTACATTTAGCTCAATTTGGTGAGGTTAGGTTAGGTTACGGTAGGTTAGGTTAGGTTAGGTTAGGTTAGCTAAGGTTAGGCTCAAATTTGACCAGGAGACTCCAAATTTCGTTTCTCACATAAACTTGATCGTAAATTAGTTTAATCCAGGATAGTTTACATTAGCTGCAATTTGGAGAGGTTAGGTTAGGTTACGTTAGGTTAGGTTAGGTTAGGTTAAGGCTCAAATTTGACCAGGAGACTCCAAATTCGTTTTTCTCACATAAACGATAGTAAATCAGTATTCCAGGATAGTTACATTAGCTGCAATTTGGTGAGGTTAGGTTAGGTTTTAGGTTTAGGTTAGTTCAAATTTGACCAGGAGACTCCAAATTTTTTTTTTCTCACATAAACTTCATCGTAAATCAGTTTAATCCAGGATAGATTACATTAGCTGCAATTTGGTGAGGTTAGGTTAGGTTACGTTAGGTCAGGCGTTAGGTTAAGGAGGTTAGGTTAGGTTAGGTTAGGTTAGGTTAGGCTCAAATTTGACCAGGAGACTCCAAATTTCGTTTTCTCACATAAACTTGATTGTAAAACAGTTTAATCCAGGATAGGTTACATTAGCTGCAATTTTGGTGAGGTTAGGTTAGGTTAGGTTAGGTTAGGTTAGGTTAGGGTTAAGGTTGGCTCAAATTGCCAGGAGACTCCCAAATTTCGTTTTCTCACATAACTTGATCGTAAATCAGTTTAATCCAGGATAGGTTACATTAGCTGCAATTTGTGAGGTTAGGTTAGGTTACGGTAGGTTAGGTTAGGTTAGGTTAGGTTAAGTAAGGTTAGGCTCAAATTTGACAGGGACTCCAAATTTCGTTTTCTCACATAAACTTGATCGTAGATCAGTTTAATCCAGGATAGGTTACATTAGCTGCAATTTGTGAATTAGGTAGGTTACGTTAGGTTAGGTTAGGGTTAGGGTTAGGTTAGGGTAGGCTCAAATTTGACCAGGAGACTCCAAATTTCGTTTTCTCATATAAACTTGATCGTAAATCAGTTTAATACAGGATAGGTTACATTAGCTGGAATTTGTGAGGTTAGGTAAGGTTAGTTAGGTTAGGTTAGGTTAGGTTAGGCTGATATTTGACCAGGAGACTCCAAATTTCGTTTTCTCACATAAACTTGATCGTAAATCAGTTTAATCCAGGATAGGTTACATTAGCTCCAATTTGGTGAGGTTAGGTTAGGTTACGGGTAGGTTAGGTTAGGTTAGGTTAGGTTAGCTAAGGTTAGGCTCAAATTTGACCAGGAGACTCCAAATTTCGTTTTCTCACATAAACTTGATCGTAGATCAGTTTAATTCAGGATAGTTTACATTAGCTGCAATTTTTAGGTTAGGTTAGGTTAGGTTAGGTTAGGTTAGGTTAGGGTAGGCTCAAATTTGACCAGGAGACTCCAAATTTCGTTTTCTCATATAAACTTCATCGTAAATCAATTTAATTCAGGATAGGTTACATTAGCTGCAATTTGGTGAGGTTAGGTTTAGGTTACGTAGGTTAGGTTAGGTTAGGCTCAAATTTGACCAGGAGACTCCAAATTTTCGTTTTCTCACATAAACTTGATCGTAAATCAGTTTAATCCAGGATAGTTTACATTAGCTGCAATTTGGAGAGGTTAGGTTAGGTTAGGTTAGATTAGGTTAGGTTAGGTTAGGTTAGGCTCAAATTTGACCAGGAGAGTCCAAAATTCGTTTTCTCACATAAACGATCGTAATCAGTTTATTGCAGGATAGGTTACATAAGCTGTAATTTGGTGAGGTTAGGTTAGGTTAGGTTAGGTTAGGTTAGGTAGGCTCAAATTTGACCAGGAGACTCCAAATTTTTTTCTCACATAAACTTGATCGTAAATCAGTTTAATCCAGGATAGATTACATTAGCTGCAATTTGGTGAGGTTAGGTTAGGTTACGTGTAGGTCAGGCTATGTTAGGTAGGTTAGGTTAGGTTAGTTAGGTTAGGTTAGGCTCAAATTTGA